ATCCTTTGCTGGTCGATATATTTATTCTCTAGTTAACCTATATTCTGGCTATGATCAGTTCCCCATTGATTTCACTAGCCGGCTGATGACTTCCATGCACACGCCAAGGGGGCTTGTTCAGATGTGTGTGGTACCTCAGGGCTGGACTAACGGAGTGACAGTGGTTCAAATGGACATAATCAAAGTCATGCAGGACATTTCTCCTGAAATAATCACTCCCTATATTGATGATAATCATGTAAAAGGACCCTTGGTAAGAGATGAGACTTTGGTCGCAGGGGGAGTCAGAAAGTTCGTCTGGGAACATGCCGAAGGAGTAAAGATGGTCCTAGAAAGACTTCGGAAGTATAATCTGACTGTCAGTGAGCCAAAGTCCCTTATTTTTCAACCAGAAGTGATAATCTTGGGCTTCAGATGCTTCTCCAAGGGTAGGAGCCCAGATCCCAAGAAGATTGACAAGATCTTGAACTGGCCTCTGCCTCTCAAAAGAGTGACAGATGTCAGAAGCTTCTTGGGAGTCTGTGGATTCTGGAGGATTTTTATTCCTCATTTTGCTGCCCTTAGAGAGTCTCTGAGAGAAATGGTAAGACAAAAGGCTAACTTAGCATGGAATGAAAAAAGACAAGCTGCAACAGAAACATTGCAAGAGAAGCTAAAAGACGGTGGTGTAGTGCTGGGAGTACCATATTATGATGATGAGGAGACAAGATCTTTCATCATTGAGGCGGATGAAGGACTAATTGCTCTGGGTAGAGTACTTATTCAAAAAGACGAAAATGAGAGAGAAAGACCTCTAAGATTTGAAAGCAGAACCCTCAATTCTACTGAAAGAGTCTACACCCAATTCAGGAAAGAGGTACTGTCAATTATCCATAACCTCAGGTGCTTCAGGCACTACGCTTGGGAAGGAGATTCATTCTGAGGATTGATGCATCTGCTGTGATTTGTGTCATTAAAAAGCACCGACAGGTAGATCCAACAGTCAACAGATGGATCGCCTTCATCTTGATATATGATTTTAAGCTGAAAAAGATCCCCACTGAGAAAAACAGAGCGGATGTCTTAAGCCGGACTGAGTGGCGAGAGGAAGAAGAAGAAGATGTGAACGGAACGATTGAAAAATCTGCCTATGTTGATAATTTTCTTAATGAGAAAGATGATTAGGACTATGAGGTGCCATGCTCCTATAGGTGGAATCCATGACCAGAGGAAAGGGACAGCTGGGGAGAGGTCCCTGGTGCGTACATTTACGAATCGATTATTGGAAAAGAAGAAGAAGATGAACCGAACGATTGGTACGCCAAAGTTAATGCAGCTGCAGTGACCGTTTATGAGATTGGGGAAAGTTCAGGTTCAAAGGAAGAGGAAGAGAGTGAAAAGAAGGAAGAAAAGATATTTTTTTTCTTTGAAGAGCATGATGAAAATTATCAAGACATTGACAGAAAGATGGAAAAGGAATAACTAAAAGAATACCACTGTAAAGATTTAAGAAAGAAATTCAGACTAAAAACAGGACATCTCTTTGTGGATGGTAAGGGAGACCTACCTCCACTAAGAGTGGTATGTGGACATTAATCAATCCTCTTATTTTTTATTTTTCCTTTCTTGTTGTTTTTTTGTTTAGCTTTCTATCTTCTTGACGGTTGTCAGTATCATGCACCTGACCCATAACTCTGTAGAGGGGTGCTTGGCGCGCAGTTGAAAAGACTGGGTCAACCTTCCCACTTCCGCATCCCAGGGGGAACCCGACGGCTACCACGGTCACTGTCCGGTTGTGCTCTGCTGTACAGCAGGGCGCCGAGCCTGCGTGGACCAATGGAAGTCCTATGGCGCACCCCTTTTGTCAGGGGTACAACCCCCAGGACTGGTCTGAGCCGAAGCACAGCCCGGGCATTGACGGCAACGAAAACCCAAGGCACGTCTACAGGTCGAGGCACCGACGCGAGGGACTGTACCAAGCAGGGACTTGGTACACGGAGGAGGGACGGGCACCGTGCCCTCCGACACCGCGTTGCAGTCGTCTCTCTCTCTCTCTCTCTCTCTCTCTCTCTCTCTCTCTCTCCCCCTGTGTGTGTGTGTGTGTGTGTGTGTGTGCGTCATGCATGTTCACTCGCCGTTTTCCCCTTGGTCGAATGATGAACGTCTCACACGCACACATTCCATCGATAAGATGAGCAAAATCGGAATGAATCTTCTGCTAAAACTGGGAAATATACATTGCCGCTTTTTGCTTTGCTGGTTCTATCGATCCAAGCAGCGTGCGGCAAGCCGCGAGGCTGGAGTCTTAGCCGAGGTTGGCGACTTATTGGCTCTCTCTCTCTCTCTCTCTCTCTCTCTCTCTCTCTCTCTCTCTCTCTCTTACACACACACATACACGTGGACACACACACACACATACACATTCCATCGATAGGATGAGCAAAAACGGAATGAATCTTCTGCTGAAACGTAGAAATATACACTGCCACTTTTCAAATTGCCCATTCTATCGATCCAAGCATCATGTGGCGAAGCGCGGGTTGGAGACTTAGCTGTTGGCCAAGGTTGGAGACTTATCGTCTCTCTCTCTCTCTCTCTCTCTCTCTCTCTCTCTCTCTCTCTCTCTCTCTCTCTCTCTCTCCCACACACACACACACACATTCCATCGATAGGATGAGCAAAAACGAAATGAATCTTGCGGTAAAACGTGGAACTATACACTGCGTGCGGCTTATACTCTCTCTCTCTCTCTCTCTCTCTCTCTCTCTCTCTCTCTCTCTCTCTCTCTCTC